CTAACAGCAATTAAATAATTTAGCTCCTCATTAATATCTGCAAGCAAAAGAGGATCTTCTTCACCCGTATTTTTTGCCATATTATATAGAACTGCAGTTGCCGAAATAATGTGCATTGCGGTCTCCAGTTTTACTCTCAAGCCATTTACTCTCAAGCCATTATTTTCCAAACTCCAAAACAGTTTTCGATTACGTTTCCTGTTCGGATATGGGACTTATTGTATAGCCTTTTGGCTCTTGTTGCAGGATTAACTAAAAGGGCTAACAAAGAGGATCTAAGACCATAGCCACTGTCACCCGTAATAAAAAAATCAAGAAAATATACTAAACGGTCCCTAATCGCGCGCTAATCAGCCAAAAAGTGCCGGTTAATATAATCGTTGTTTGGAATACACAAAACAGTGGTTAAGCGACGGTACAACACATTTTTCAAACTAAACGGCGATTGGGGTGTTTTATAATTAATCATTTTTTCAGCTTGGGGATGCACCATGATAGCACGGGAAACAGTTGCCCCAAAGAAGGATACATAATGTCGCCATCCCGGGGCACCAACGGGGAAACCCAATGGTCCTCATGCAGTGCTGAAGTGATGGCTAAACTGGAGTAAGCCATTCATCTACAGGGGCTTAAGGGGCAAAATTCTACCGGTTCTTAAACAAAAAATTACCACATATACTGAGCACTTTGTATAAAATTACAGTTGGGCAAGCTGTTTAAAAGACGCGGCCAAGCCAGTGAAAGGCAAAGACCATTCCCGGTTCCTGGACATTCCTGGAAGAATCTACACGGCAAAGAGACAGTGCGAAGTGCTGCTACGGGACAAGGACGCGGTGATGTCGCCCAACCAACCGCAGGCCGATATTTGCTTCAGTTTGCAGTGCAAAACCCCGCATAGGAGCGGATTTTATTTCGCTGGACCTGCCTTGGACGGGACGCCTTGCGGCACTGCGAAGGTTGGGACGCATTTGCATTTGCTCAAAGTTCTCCCAATTCCTCCTCTAATTCCTGTTGCTTTCAGTACTGCTATGGAGGCCATTGCAGCTCGCGCCAGCCCCCAAAGCCGGTTAAAGTCACCCCTGGGGGCTGGAGCGTCTGGAGGAAGGGACTGTGCACGTCCGGGTGCATCCAGAAAGCCAAGGGAATGCAAACGAGTACCAGAGAGTGCAACAATCCGGCCCCAGTTAACACTGATCAGGGCTGCGAGGGAGTTAATTCCCAGTTTAATTTTTGCAGGGACGACAACGTGAGTTTGCTCTGGGTTAATTTGCCCTGGTGCCTGAATTCGTGAAATGTTTGCAGATTTGTGCAGGAAAACGGCAATCTCCAGTGGTGTACGCCTCTAAGAAGTGCAAGGAGTTTTCGAAGTTGCTTCCAGAACTGGACCCAAAAGGAGCGGGGCTTCAAGCCCCTCATGAAGATGGTAATGGATTCGTATTTTGCACGAAGCTGTAAGGTTCGTTTGTAACTGAGCTGTTTTAGGGCGCGTATGGACAAGTTGCGCGATTTTCTGCAAGCGCAGGGACTCAGGAGCTTTTTACACCCCCAGAATAGAGCTGAACGATTTAGGGGTTTCTCCCTACTTTCCTGATGGGACTTGGTGCCACAAGGACTTCACTGGCATGAACTACTTCTGCATGCACCATCACTGTCTTCCAGAGGCAAGCATTATAAAAAATAGTATAGATAGTTATAGTATAAATAGTTATAAAAAAACCATTATTTATTGTTTAACGTGTGAAATTGGTTTCTAGAACTTCCAGTTTACGAAAAAGCAAATTCCCACTCTCGATGATGTGCCGTTCTCCCAAAACGCCAGACCCAACAAGCCGCCCATTCCGCCCAATTTGAAGAATTACTTTGCCTTGAGTCCAAACGGTCGCCCCATCCAGACCTCCTTTAAGAACACTGATCTGTATTCTACTAATGAGGAGGAGTGGGAGACTAAGGATTATGTTGAGCTGCCCAGTATTCAAAAGCGATTTCAGGCTTTGCAGCAGGAAGTTAGCGATTTTGATTTTTTTTGAGGATTTTTTAGTTTTGAACTATGACCTTTTTCTAACGACTTGAAATAAATATAAAAAATATTTTGAAAAATCTTCTTTGTCTTGGATCAATGAGTTGAGTAGAAAACGTCCATTATGTTATTATAATGGAGACCGATGGTAGACCAAGGTAGCAAACGCAGGATTTTGGCCGAATTTCGTAAAACTTTCGGCGTCCTTAAAGGCAAATGTCTTCTAAAAATTGTGAAAATTTCAAGTTGCTACTCAGTTTTGTTTAGAAGACCAAAGTTTTAGTTTTACGAATTTTTTATAGAAAAAGCGCAGTGTAGTTACCACAACAATTTTGAGACCGATATTTGCTATACTGGAAAAGCTCAGAATTTACGCCAATTTTTATGAAACCCTCGGCACTTTTGGAGTCGAATATTTTCTAAAGAATCTAAAAGTTTAAAAATTGCTACTCGGTTTAGTTTAGAAGAAACTATTTTTTTAAATAACAGGGCGCAGTGAAATAAGAGCATCGATTTAGAGATCCATATTTGCTAAGGTGAGAAAAAATTTCATTCTTGAAAAATTTAATGAAACTTTCGGCATCTCTATAGTCAAATCCTTTCTAATGATGCTCAAATTTTAAATTGCTACTTGCTTTGTTTCCGAAGCAATAAACTTCCATCAAAAGAGAGAGCGCGGTGGAGCAGAAACATCGATTTTGAGACAAAAAAAATTAACAGAATTTTTAAAGGAAAGAGAGCAGTGAAGTAAGAAAATCGATCGAACTCTCAGCATCTTTAGAATCAAGTGTTTTCTAAATATGGTGAAAATTTCAAATTGCTGCTTGCTCCAGTTTGCATAAGGCGAATTTTTGAAGAACAAATTGCAGTCGAGTTCAAAAGATCCACTTGAAACCGATATTAACACTTTTCTGGGGAGGTGGGTGAATATTTGAAGTGAATAATAAATTTTAATATATACCCCTTTTACTATTATGGTGTTCTGTAATAATATTTTAGTAGATTTTGTAAGTGATTAATTAAATCGATTCCCAATTGCAATCGATGGGAGCGGTATCCTGGCAATATTAGTTCATAAAATTTAAATAGATGGCAATGAGTGTTCTTTTAACCTGTTCAATGTTTTAATTTCATTTCCTGTCAGTGTCACAAAATATCGAACAATTACTGGATGTAAAAAATAAATGTTTTGTAAAAAGTGCGGTGATTTAGTGAAATAATCAGCATTCCATAGCTGGAAGTCAGCTTGCCTAAGTTTACAGTATTAGGTAAGCGGATAACATAACATGGACGTTATGCATTCACTTTTCAAAAGGGAAAGTTAACCGGTTTCTTTGTCCTGATCGAGCTGGATTTTCAAATCGGGGCTTGTATTGATTTCGTAATTTTAGCAAAAATCTGGATTATTACCCCGGGATTTAGATGTGTTTTATCAAGTTTATCGATAATGCGTTGTATTATGTAGTGACTTTCTGTTTTAACAAAAAAAACCAAATTCTGCCCGCAATTAAACTACCCTTAAGAACAATAGTAGACCAGAGATATGACCTAGTTTGCACGTAAATGGCTCATATATATGAAACCAGGCTGGGTGCAGATTAAACAATTGAGAACGGAGCTCCGTTCATAATCCGGGCAGCTTTTAGATGGACATGATTTGGGTTTGGGCAGCTTAAACCTGCCAAGTTAAGTTTCATGTTGCCCAACAAATGAAACTACTACTTGACCTAGCAGCTTTAAATGCCCCCAACTCATTTACATCTAAACACTTCCAGGATTATGAATGGTATTGTATTCTCGATATTCTCATTCATTAATCTGAATATGTTACCTGGCAATCATACATACTTATTTAAAATTGCTTCTCCTTGAATTTCATTGTTTAGAGAACAAAGAAAGTTTTATCTATAACCAATCCATAAGGTAAAGCATTAAACCACTTGTTCCTACTCTGAGGTTTTTACGAAATCAATTCATATTGGCAATTAGCCTACATTCGAACTATATCAAGTTCAAGTCGATGTTTGGTTCTACGCTTTATGCATTATCTAATGCAACGTATATGCAGTTCAAAAGCTTCATTGCTTCAATGTCTAAGCATATCTATTTCCTTCGTCACCCAATCAGTATTATTAAGGACATAAGTAACTTTTTGCTGCGACGTTTCTCCTTGATGGTTGTTTTGTAACAGATCAATCAACAAATCAAAACATGTTTATTGTCCTCATAGTGCCTGATACGCAATTGACTACGCTATCACACCTCTAAAAGCCGCCAATGGGAGAGCTCGGCTTCAGAATGTTGTTTTTCTCATTCCTGTTGCGTTTTGTTTTTCTTCATTGATCAGGTTCAAGGAAATTGGCGCAGTTTGGAATTTCAACTCAATGCTATAGATTAACAAATGTTGCCGGATTTTGTGTAACCTGTATTTTTTTAACATCGAAATTTGTGCCTGAGAAGTTGAATTTGGAACATTTTTCAGTGTTCTCATTATACTCCATCAAGAGCTTCTGGAGTGAGACTCTTTATTAATATGTCTAGTTGCAATGTCCTAATTCGCTTCCAACTTTAAGTTTTGTTTCCACAGTTGTTTGATGACAGGTTGTTTGATGAAAACACCCATTAGGGTTTTTGGAAAATAATTCAAATGTCTTTGGACCAATTTTTTGGCAATTTGCTGGTGTTGTTTGTAGTAATCAGGGGCTGATTTGGCCCTAACTAAATTTAACGTATTTATTTCAGCCAGCGCCACTGACTAATTAAAGTTTGATGTTTTTTTAGGTAATTATTCGAAATATCAGGCCCTCGCCTGTCTGGTTAATATTATGCTTATATTATACAAAATATCTGTGCCCACAACAGAAGTGGTCGAAACTTCTCACTTATTTTTTATATTTTTCTTTACTTATTCTCTATTTTTTCTTTGATTTACTCCGCATTAGTCCGCATTTGGTCGGTTATTAGCAATTTAAGATCGTTTCGAAGTTTTTCTAGAAAGGCATCTGAAATTCCAAATATTACTAAGAAACAATCGAATAGATATAACGCATGTGAGTTTCAAAAATCGCCCAAAAACTTTTCAATTTCATGATTCTTCTCAATAAATTATGTGTTATTTCCGTGCCTAATGCATCCGCACCTGTTTCCTGCTTTCCTAGAAATACATTTGCAATCCTTAAGCTTTTATACTTCAATAAACTCAATTTTCTTGGCAAAGAAAACAGTTTGATTAAGCCGATTAAGCGCATATTTATTTAGTGCGTTTTCCTGCTTTCCAGCGTGTTTCGTACTTGACTAACTAGCACGTATTTTACGGTGTAGAAAATAAACGAAAACATGTTTACGACATCAACAAAGGTGGTAGATACTGTGGAGATTGCACAATCAGCTGGGGCTTCTAGTTTAATATTAATAATTACCCAAATTTTGTGTTTCGACTTTATTTTCATTCTCTAGTCTTATTTGTATAATATCCTATTTAATATCCACAATATATTACATATAAATGCCACTGAACCTACTTAAATCAGCGGCAGTATGAAAAAATGAGTGCGTTGACTTTCACTTGTATGGCATGTTTCGTTCGATGTTATCACCTCATGTCGCCTACCAATGGCAAGATACGAGACCGATGCGGTCAGAAATCATGCGATCTTCTTTCTGGTTCTTTATATTAAAACCGTGTTTTTACTTCTCGCCCATGAAGTGATGTTTATTCTAGATTTCGCCAAGATTTCACGTAAATTTGTGAACATATTTTCAGTGGCAACAAAGTGTGTATTTACCAAAGGCATAAAATTGCGGAATATAACGAAGCCAAATAAACACCCAACATGAGCGTTTCGGTAAAAGTTGCTAAAAATATCGAGCTTTAAGTGAACGCACTGGGAGGCTGACCTATTTTGAAAAAGTTCCCGGTTGTGTAGATTTCACAACTTTGCAAGTTTCCATTTGGTTTCAATTTATCAGTCACGATTACTGCGTGAATGAAACAATAAAAGTTGCAAAGTTCCGGAAAGATCGGAAATGATTCTCAGCAAATGGCTTGAACTGCCCTCAAACTTAACAATGTGAGGGATTTTGTTTAATGATTGTAAAGTTTCTGGATGGGACAGGAAATGTTTCTATTTCTAAATGCCCAACACTTTCCTAATAGCCAAACCTGATTTGCATCATCATATATGAAGGCACTCAATCATGTGCGACACTTTTCGACTGGCAATGTGAATAACCTTTGTTGTTACCTGAATTTAAGCTGGTCGCCCTGTTTAGATCATCCAAAAATTGAACATGTTTCAGTTGAAGTGACTTCGATTAATGCTTAATGTTTCTAAATTATTGATTTGTGGTGTTCGCTTTTGTACTTTGCGAAGTTGATAAAGTGAGGGTAAGGAATAAGTGAAATCCAAGGGAACTGCTCAATTGCTTGTAGAATGCAGAATAATTTTTCGGAATTTTTTAAATAATGTTAAACCTTGCCCTGAAATGAGCTATATCTGGCATTTTTCTATTTTTGAAATCTGGATTTAACTTCAGTGTAAGGCTCGGTGTGTGTTTTCTGAACGTTTTTATTAGAATGTTACGAAACAAACCGCAACAATAGGCAACGCTCAAACGCGCTTAATTATTATTAATTCGTTGTTCCTGATTTTCGTTTGCTGCACTCGCTTTAGCTGTTTTTCAGTCAGTCATAATCATTCGATTCAGCCGACGATTTTTTTTCGACTCATTTAAAGTTCAGGCGACTTTTTTTTGGAAAAATGCTCGGAAACATCAACTAGTATTTTTAATGGCGAGTTATTTGTTGCCACTGTTTATTGGGTTCTGCACTAAATCTGAACACTCTGTGTCAACAACTTATCGCAAATCGCATTCAAATTTGTATTTTTGTTCAAAAGTTCTAATAAGTGTGGCTTTGTTTCGAAAATAAAATGTGTTAAAGTTTTATTGAAAGCTTAAAAAATTATAAAAAAAATTGAAACCGCTTGAAATATTTCAATCAAATATGTATTGCAGCTTTTAATAGCTATGGAATGGCAGTGTTTCTATTGATTTAAATATTTTTTCGTCCACCAGAGGCGCAAGTTTTTGAAGAAAAAATAGTCCGTTTCTGATTTATTACAAAATGTATTTTACCTTTCCATTGCTTGTTCAATTCTAGCCCAAAAAGATCTTTTGATAATCTTAAAATAATTGTTGGTGTCAGGAGTCCAACTATTTTAATTTTTTTATGCGAGAATGAGGCTTTGTAAGGAAAATGACTATAGAATACTGTTAAAAAAATGATCTGATTTTTGAGACTAAGTTTTTGAGTTTTGACACGAAATATTGACGCACATAAAGGTTTATTCCTTAATCTTGGCAATGCGAAATTGCCGTTAACTAATCCTGCTTTATTATCCGCATACTTATAAAACTGGTAGCTTATTATCGCAAACTGGGCTATAATAGATACGATAATAAAGCGATCGTTTTAGCAGCACACATTTTTTCTATAAACTGGCCGATACGCTTAAATATGAGTAAACAAGGCTAGTGAACGACAAACAAGCTGAACCATATCAGGACATTGTTTTGGTTTCATCACCATTTTTGTGATAAAACCCACTTGCTACAAGGAAAGTGGTGTTTTTCAAAATTACCATCCGATGCAGATACGTTTAGAAAAGTTAAGAAATATCAATGAACAATAGACGAAATTACTTATTACGAACTACATATTATTACTGGCTATTGTTTATTTATATCCGTATTTTGCACAATTATCTACGTCTTGTTTACCACTGCCCACGGTATTGTCCAATTTATGTTTGTCAGCGGCTTCACACATGAGCAAGCTTGTAATTGAATGATTTCAATTAGCAAATATAGGCCTATCGGCCTGGATACTAAATCGTTATTTGCATTTATTAGTTTTATAGCGTCTGGCCAATGTTTCACGTAAAACCAGCTAAACTCATTCTGGCATTGTAGATTTTGGCCTTTGCTTCAACTACGTGTACGAAAAACTGTTCTAAATCTCACTCGATAGTTGTCGGCTAATAAATATGGGTACTCTCTTTAAAGCAGAGGCGTCCAGATAACACTGGCGCAAACAAGCGCGTTTAAAATTTGGATTTAATGGCTTGGTTGGTTTGTTGATGTGTTTTGAAGCGAAAATTGCAGGCAAGCAATTGGGTTGAATAAAGTATTGTCGAGTTTAATTAGAAAGCTGCAATGGGGCGCATTCACCATTGCGGCAAGATGATTTATTACAAAGAAAATTGCGCGCTATTTACTTACTAGTAGTACAGTTTCGCTAATTGCGAGTCACTTGAAGCTTCCATTGTTTATTTTGTTTATCTAGAAAGTCGTTAGGCACCAAGTGGATGTATGTTTTCTCACCGAAATTTCCGTATCGCTTCTCGATTGAAGACGGTTTTTATTGCCGATGCTACGCCAATGTGTGTCCACTTTATATAACAACAGGCTTCGATTTTCTGAGTCATTCAGTTGCCGGTCGTCCAAGCTCGCGGAAAACAACGTTTGATGTTTATTTCATGAATTTTCGACTTGGCCGCGCGTTTATTTTTTATCGTACTTTCTATCGGTTGGGTTTAGTGAACTTGAACCTTGGCCGAGCGCAACTTTGCCAACTCCTTGTTTTAGAGTGAATTTTTGCGTTTTCCAGCCGGCGAAAATGAACGGCATGCTCCGAATTATTTCGAACTTTAAGGAGTTCTACAACGACATCAACGGTGCCACTTTGACCGGTGCCATAGATGTGATTGTGGTGGAACAACCCGATGGAAGCTACAATTGTTCGCCTTTTCATGTCCGTTTTGGAAAATTGGGCGTGCTGAGAAGCAAAGAAAAAGTGGTAAGTGTTTCCTATTCGGATTTTTCTTATTAGTTTAATTAAATCAGCCAGATGCACTTTTTGTTAGCACTTACTCTACATCTATAAATAATCTGGAACTGTTAAAGAACACTCGATCAGCACCCTGATTAGCTTTATCTCACTGTAGACAAGTGCCATAGTTCACATGCAAATAATGTGTTTGAAAATTTTTACAAACATACGCCAAAGTCCAAACATCCCACGTTTGAATGCTGAGACCGAGTGTCGCCTGTTGACGCTCACCGATAAGCTTTGATCGTTGCCAATAAGCTAAATCACCTGCTAATTATCTGTAATTAACAGCTTAAAGGACATCACTGTATTTGTGGTACAAGTAGATAGTTCCATCAGTTGATCGAGCTGCAATAAAGAAGCCCCTGGACAAATTGACCTTTGATCCGATTTAGTAATAGTTCAGTGCCACTTTGTTTGGGATTTTTTAATGGATTTTACATGAATGGGCAGCACCAAATTCGTTTTTATTTTTATTGTTTGCAGTTCTTATAGCTAAACTGCTCAACAAGATGACAAGTACACAACCAAATTTACCCGAACTGTAGAACTGGATAAATTCTGATCGCTTAGCTCGATTTGCATTCTGTTTGAAGTGGCATTTTTTGCGTGTTCTTGTGTTTTAAAGTGATCGGTTGTCTCACAAAATTTCACAACTTTTTGGTTTCGCAGCGATAATTTTTCTGTTCTCGGTCCGAGTTTAACAATCTAGCGCTGATGTTGAAGCCTAAAAAAATATTTCACTAAATAACGCATCAAACAGAAACCAATTCCCTCTAAGCAGTCATTCATGCAGTTCCAAAGATAGTCCAAATTTGTCCAAAAATGCATACTTAATATGTTCTTTGCCTTACCACAGTTAATTACCTTCGTTAGTTCGTAATTAATTTTTTTTTCTCGTTGAAATCAAATGCAGTTTTGCGATTGTCGCGTTAAAATTTCCGCCAATAAACGAAAGATAGGGTGTTTCCATCAAGCATTTTATCAAGAGCGTTTCCCATGTCAATGTTTTCGCATGCTAATTCAATTCACCTTGCTTCTAATTAATATTCAACGTTGGAAAGTTCATAGCGATTCGCTACACGTGTGGTCAGATTCATTGGCCATCTTAATCATTGAACTCTAGGACTATTATCCAATAAAAACCCATCGTTTATGGGCAATTGTAGTCACAGTTTTTAAAATTGCCTTTTCCTGAGCCCACACTGACCTTCCTCAGTAAATGCACAAGCCAAACGATTGTCGCATAGCTGGCAAAGTTTTCTGCTCATGAATCGACACAAGGGTGCCAAGACGTGGGCTTGAAAGCAAATCAAGCATACGTACGGTCTGCCTATTGGAGATATATTTAGGGATGATGTGGTAGATTGGGATTTTCTTTTCTTATTAAACTACACTCACTTCGTTAGAAAAGGAAAAAGTGATTGTAACATTACCTAAGTAAATACACGTAATAGTTGGGCCAATTTGCCTCTTGCCCTAAAGCATCCACTTCGTTGAAAGTTCATCGGCATGTGGGTTCGAATTACGGCAGGTTTTCGCCTCCTGCCCAGTCCTAGCCCGAGGCGATTAAATTGAATAACTCATCGCGCTGAATTAAATACGAAATATGTCCTAATTTTGAATGGAAATGATTGCAAGTTCGATTTTTTTTCAGGTGGATGTGGAAGTCAATGGCGAACCATTAGGTGTTTACATGAAACTGGGAGAGAGTGGAGAAGCGTTTTTCGTTGAAGAATTGGAGGATGACGAGGACAACGACATCCCGGAGCACTTGGCCACTTCGCCCATTCCGGTTTCAGAAATTGAGAACATTTTCAAAGCACAGGTATTTGAAATGGTCTCAAAAATTCGGCACGGTTCTACCTAAGAATGGCATTTGCAGGGTCGCAGACGGAGCTTCAATCTCGACGAAATCGACTTGAATCTCAACCCATCAAATTCGTATGAGAAAAGGCGGCACACGGCAGACAATCAACTGGCCAATAGTAGGGCTCATTTGGAAAGGGATTTCCTCAAAAGACAGGTAACAAAATCACACTGAAGTGACTGTGAGTGTGTGAATTTTTTGATGCGTCACTTGTACCTCAAGCGAAACGAAATAATTATAATAAGTAATTACCGATTCGTGTACTGTTGGACTTCAAACCTTCATAGAGAGGCGTCGAAAATTTTAATTTGCTTATATTCGGTTAAGACTTTGTAATCCGGTCGTGAATGGTCGAGTTGCTGGCTCTTTTATAGCCATGAAATAAATAAGAAACTGCACAGTTTTATTCCTATGGGTAATTGTTAGTAAAATCGGGCTAAGGCTTCGCCTTCTTCTATGCTTTCAAGGTTTGAAAACATGAGGTTTTATAAGAAGTTTCGACAACAACTTGAAAGTTTCGCCTAAATAGAAAACAAACATCTCAATTGATTCTAGGCTTTTAAGATTTCAAAATTTTCCTAATCTGAAAATATTCACATTGTTGTAGATGTTGCCAATTTAAAAACTGTTTTTTTCAGCTGATTCAATAGTTTCACATTGTACTAAACAACGGACTCATATTCTAAAATTGGCCTTCCCCAAACAACAACAAGCTTTCTGAATGTACCAAAACAAATTATTCGACGTTTTTTTCTTTGGTCCAGATTTAAAAACTCAATTGTAGAAATTTCCTGACCTTTATCAGGAAATTTTCCTGTACAAATATTAAACAGGTTTGCAAATCTCTCGCTATCAAGCGCTCCTAGGACCGGTTTTGAAGCAGTTAGTTATCCCAGTTGTAGTCCAGTCCGATTAGAATTTTTCCAGGCACCAAATGGATGATAGTAAAAGATTATTGGAAGTTGGGCGGAAGGATGTCAGAATATTGGAACAATAGTTTATGGGCGATTTCCGGCTGTGAAACATTATTTAAATAATCAAAGAAAGTGCGAAAACCCGTTTTTTGCGTTTAACTTTTGAACCGTTGATGCTATTGAAATACCTTTTTTCAAGCATTAAAAATACCTGCAAATGAGACAAGCTAAATTAAAATCCATTCATTTCTTTACTCAAATAACAGAAAAAAACACCGACTTCAGTTTTTTTTATTTTCTATATTTAATTTAGTTTTGCTTCTAAAAAATCGTACTATTATCTTTGTGGAAGGTCTTTGGACACTTTATAAGAGGTATACATTTTAGCTTCAAAAATATTCATAGTTGTTTGTTCGTTCCTATTTTTATGTAAAAAAGACTCTTGGCAGATTCTAAATAAGTTTTTTGAGACTTCTAAGGGTACTTTTACTCGTAAAGAGTTGTACTACAACGTTCAATAAAGAAAAAGTTGCTTACTGATGGATAATTTGTTTAAGCATTAAGTTGAAAATCACGAATTTCTAATGTTAAAAGTTAAAGGGTAAATTATTTTCAGATAATATAATTTTAATACTTGAAAAAAGTATTTCAATAGCATCAACGGTTCAAAAGTTATGAGCAGAAAACGGTTTTTTGCACTTTCTTTGATTGTGTAAACAATGTTCCACAGCCGGAAATCGCGCGCAAACTATTGTCCCAATATTCTTCCAACCTCCTTCCGAAGAAATTCCAATCAAATCATCCATTTAGCTCCCGAAACAGGCCTTTTAAAGTCTAATCAGACTGGACTATTGGTTCCAGCGGTGCTCGCTTCGGGCGACACACCTATGAAGATGGTAGCAATGCGTGCTAGCGAAACGTTAGGACCAACTGGGAAAACTCATCGCTTTGAAACCGGCCATGAGAACTCTTAGTTACACCGTTTGATACAAGATTAAACCCTTGGATAAATCAAATTTGAGAACTTCATCAGATACTCATTGGTATAAACGTGAGAAAAAATCATGAAATTTATTCTATTAGCAACAGTAAAACCTTCCTAAATGTGCACTCGGCGTTGCTTTTCAATTAGGAGCAGCCAAGTTATGATTTATTTTTTCAATATATACATCGATTGGCCGTTCATATCATACTCTGGTGATGCACCTTCAATGTTGGCACCGCTTCAAAGAAAGTGAAGTAATTCACGTAGACAAGCAAACACAGTTAAAAATAGTGTTATCGAATTTACAAACAATGCTGCTTGTTTTCAGATCGTCTTAGGCAACATTGATGGGGCATCTGCGGAAGATGTGACCTACTCTCTAACCACTGTGTCCAGACGAAGCGACGAAGACGATCTAAGTCCCAGTCAGAACGACGTTTCGGAAACCATCTTCAAAATGGACAGTCTTGATGAGCCGGTGAGCAAAGACGAGAAACCATCCGAAGTACCAGTGGCAGTGGTAAGTCGATTTCCTGATGTTAAAAGACGCTTGGATGTTCAAAAGAGGAGGTTTAGGTGCAAGCAAAGGACACCAGCCCCAAAGAGGCTCCAGTAGAGAGCAAAAGCAGCAAAAAGAAGCGCAAAAAAATGCGCAAGAAGAACGCGCCTCGAAAGACATCAAGCAACAACAACGTATTGCCGAGTCCTAGCACCGAGAATCTCGAGCGTACAAGCGAATCAACCACTGACCGAAGTTCTTTGGACAGCAACTGTTCGGAGGCGGAGCTTAAAGATTTGCAGTAGGTTAATTCCATTCAAATACCCACTTTAGATAATACAGTTTGTCGTGTCGCAGGCCGAAAAATGACAAACCTATGAAAGAGCCCAGCGAAGCTCCAACCCAAACGGATACGTCCAACATTAAAAAAGTGGACGCAGACTTTCACTTCTTCAGCGACACGGAACTGACCACGGGCAACTCAGAGTCACGATCTGCTTCGCCAGTCAATATAGAGTCTGTGCAATCTGATTCGGAAATTGAAATGAAACTCCGAGTGAAAGGTACGCATTGCTTTGCCATTACTGTAGCACAAATGTGTATCCTCAAAGAAGAAGTTTCAGAGGAAGGAAAAGAGCCGGCCAAAAGTTGGGAATGGGGCGGTTTTCCCAGCGTCTCTCAGGCCGATTCTCCCGCCAACGACGAAACCACCAAAGAAGATCAAAAGTCGATGCTGAGCAGCATGTTTTCGTTTATGAAGTCGAAACACAGCGCTTCGAATCGTTATACTGAAGACGGCATTTATCTGTCCGATATTGCCAGCGGTATGGTTGACCAGGAGGTGGCCGATATCTATTTCAGGCAAAAGAAGGATCAGGCTGCAGAAGGCAAGTCCTGATTAATTCTAACTATGTTTGCTTTAAGTAGTTTCTTACTTATTCCTGCAGTTTCTGCTCTTTTTTGCACAAAAGTCTGTACATATCCAAAGAGGTGAAAACTGCAGGCCATTTTTTTAACTGAGTGAAAATTTGCCACATCTTTCTGGTTAATGCGACTCAGATGCAAAGCATGCTCCTAACTGCTTCCAATGCACGTTTAAAATGATTTTGATTAGTAGAGCCTTATTAGTATCTGCCTTATCGTATTAAGTGTTACTGTTACGTGTAAAATCTAGATATCGACATGGATTGTGAATCAGGCAATGGACCGTCGTTGACTCAGAGTCCTAACAGTCCCGAAGGCTGCAAGAGCATAGATTCGGATTTCGACGAGCAAACCAAATTGTAAGTCCAACTCTTTTCATCCAAACAATTGTTTTAACAACGACCGAAAAACTCACCAGTATTAGTCAACGCTTTCTGCATTATTTCCTAAGAAAATCTGGTATTTCAGAGTTCAAACTCATTCGCAAGACATAACGCTATCGCTGTGCGGATGGGAGCCAAACCTGTCCTCAGAACGTTTCAACGAGCACATGATTTCGTACACCGATTTCTGCAACAATTGCGCCATACTGGACGACCCGAAACTGGTGGCAAAGATCAGCGGAAAGTACTACAGTTGGAAAGTGGCCGCATCTATGCTAGTTAGTATTATGTGCTTTGGAAGACCGCTTATTCCGGCATGCGTCGATCAGCTTTGCAATAATTATATGGCCGCACCGGTTAGTATATATAATTGTTTAATCCATGTCGGGGTTTTAATCATTTACGTCATTAGGATGCAAAGGAGAAGTCGATACGGGAGGAGAAGAACCAGCCCAATAAATCCTCCTGGTGGCATTGGCGAAGATCGTCGCGTGAAACAACTCCGGCCAAAGATGTGGGGAGCAGTTCCAAGACGGTGGAAGCTGAAAAAACCGGCCCAGACTTGGTGTTGGAACCTGCTCAAAATGTTAAGGATTTGGGGGAGATTCAAGAAGGTTGGTTCTTTTTTCCTTTAGTCCAGAATCTAATGAATTTAAAATGCGGTGTTTTATCCAGACTTCGAACAACCCCTAGAAGGTGCACAAGCTGCTTCGAAAGAAGAAGAGATGCAAATTAAGATCAGGACGGAGTCTCCAAAGTGCTCGGACAAGTTCAGGAAAACTCTTCGTCTAAGTTCAAAGCAAATAGTGAGTTGTCCCGACAATATAATTTGGAAAAAGGTTGATAAATGTGTGTTTTAAGGCATCATTGAATCTTCGTGATGGCATGAACGAGGTGGAATTCAGCGTAACTACCGCATATCAGGGTACCACCCGATGCCAATGCCATTTATACAAATGGAAGTGGGATGATAAAATCGTTATTTCGGATATCGATGGAACAATAACAAAGTGAGTGCTGGAGGATGCTGTTTTGGGCTTGCCTGATGCACTTTTTTTGCAGATCGGACGTCTTGGGCCATCTTCTCCCTATAGTAGGCAAAGATTGGGCGCAGTCTGGAGTGGCGCAGCTCTTCAACAAAATTAAAGACAACGGCTACAAGTTACTGTATTTGAGTGCCAGAGCAATTGGCCAAGCGAGGACTACGCGAGAATACTTGAGGTCTATCAAGCAGGGCGATATGAGCATGCCGGATGGACCAATCCTGCTCAATCCCACGTCCTTAATCACCGCTTTCCATAGGTAAGGAAACCAGCCTTTAACGACGTGATTTTTACAGTAAAATTCTTACCTTTCAGGGAAGTGATCGAGAAAAAACCCGAGGCGTTTAAAATTTCCTGCATGTCAGACATTAAAGCGCTATTTCCTTCGGACTTGGAACCATTCTATGCCGGATATGGAAACAGAATTAATGTAAGCACACCTACACAAATATTCAAATACCCAAGCTCAACTTACCTATTAAATGCGATTTTAGGATGTGTGGGCCTACCGGGCCGTTGGCATTCCAATTCACCGGATTTTCACCATCAACTCAAAGGGCGAGCTGAAGCACGAACTCACCCGAACCTTCCAGTCCAGGTAAATATTTCTTATTTAATCATTGTTCACGGGGTGTTCACGACAAACTAATGCGTTGTAGCATAATAGTATTAAATGGCATTTATTTTTGCAGTTACTCGGGCCAGTCACTCGTGGTCAATGAAGTATTTCCACCAGTTTTAAATATTTTAGCAATTGAAAAGGATACTGATATTTCTTCCGATTCAAGTTCATCTAGTGAAATTTGAAATTCGCGTTATTAAAATGTGTGTTTAATCTTTGACAAACAATCATTTTGCTTTGTTTCGCTGAACTGCCCTCATTCATCACTTGAAGGAGTCAAAGAATAAACAAACATGGAATTTTTCGAAAAATTCTATAATTGACCACGAGTTCAACATGCCAACATGCAACTCAGTACTAGTGAACTGGTTGGGTGTATAATATGGTAAGCATAACAGCCGGGAAACTAGTTCAGATTGGACGTTGCTTTTGCCGCATGCGTTTTGATAACCACGTTCCAACTTCGCGTTTTCCCTAGGAACGTCGTCTGGTTAAAGAAAGCTTCAATGGTGTGGATTGTGAACATTTCAAACTAACAATTTATCAAATTCATTTTCTAAGGCACGTTTTCAAATGACCAATTATAATTTGTTTCTTTATATTTCAGCTACACCAACATGAGTATCATCGTGGACCAGATGTTCCCGTCTCGTGTAGAAGCTGCCAATGACTACTCTCAGTTCAACTATTGGAGGGAACCGGTGCCAGATCTGGAGCTCCTGCTCTAGATGCAGTAAAAGGTACTGATTTTCTGCACGTGCTTAAACGCTTAGACAAAGCGACAAAAGATTTGTCAAAAATCTACCCGAGCATTTAGAATTCGATGTAACAACTTTATGGGCATTATGCGCATTTATCTATGTATTATTTATTTCGCAACGCTCGACTCATTGTCGCTTTAGATGTTGTGTATGTAGATGGAACTTTAAATGTAAACAGCACTTTATTCCTCGCCCTATATTAAAGAGTTTAGCATAAGGGTTGCAAAAATTAGGAGTTATTCAAAGTGATTCAATTTTTGCCTCGACTGCAGTGTGAGCTAAAACTTTACGTATCTAAAATATTGCAGAATTATTTGACTGTTTACCCTTTCCATCGGTTACAAAGTCTCAACAAAGATGGTTGTGAAACATTTCACAATTTGGTTAAAAAAATTATTCAGCTGATCAAAATCCTGCGACATGGTATAATCGATAGGAGTTTTCCGTTCCCACAAAATAAACTGTTTGGAATTAAGGTAATACAGAATTTATGTTTCATCATTTAAAACAGACGTTTTAAATGCGCACTTTCTAACCCATCGTAGGCCACAACGTATGACATATTTCTATATTTTAATTTTGTGGCCTACGAAATTCATTGTTTTGCAAACCACTTAATATCAGACCAGAAACGTTCAGAATTCGCGAGTTCAAAAGCCCAAACGCCCACTAGAAGCTAAATTATAATTAGTTTGACACTTATTTTAAATTAGATGTCATTGTGACTTATTTTGTTCTATTCAGCAGCTTTTCGCGAGTTCAAAAGTCCAGACGCCCCCTCCTGGTTAAAATTATAACTGCAAGTTAAGTAGTATTTTGCTTTTAAAGAAACAGAAACTTGTCAGACTTGTTTATTTCTTGGAGTTGATGACATTTACAACATAAAACAATACTTTCGATCTGTTTCTAATTCTTTAAAAGCTTGCAAAAGTTGATTAGAAGAAAACAAATCACAATCAGACGGAAACACCAATGTTAACAAAACAAGTGTCAAATTACTACTTAACTTGTGGTTATAATTTTAGCCACCAGGGGGGTCTGGACTTTTTAACTCGCGAATCTGACTGTGATTTGTTAGATTTGAACAGATAGAAAAGTGTGCAAGTATTGTTTTATGTTATAAATGTCATCAACTCCAATAAATAAACAAGTGTGACCAGTCTGAACTGTCACTCGACAATGAGTAATTTGACGTTTCGCAGCGCCACCATCGGTAGTTGAACTCGCGAATATCATAGTTAATCAAAAAAATTCTACTAGGACTAGCCTTTTACAGTTATGTTCCACAACTGGAACAAAAAATAATATGAGTTACAAAAACTGTGAGAGCCACAACAACCAAGAGAGCAGACTCATCTTTAGTTGATTTCATTTGATCTACTACCTTTGCTCTTCTGTAAAAAAAATGATAAAATAACAATTTTTTTTCATCTAGTGATTAGCGTTTCTCTATTTTCAATTATAATAAGTTTTATATTAGTTTTTCGACTGTTGGTATTGTGATATGTTTGGTTCGAGCTACCAACACTCAAAGATTGTAAACTTGATTAGTTGTAATCGTCTACGGGATCAGAGCTTCACACTACAGGTGTTGCTCAACAAAGGCTTGTTTATCCAAAAAATGGAAGTTTTGTGATATCATTTTGGTGATTTATTTTAGTTTTAAGACCTTTATTTTTGTTATCAGTGCAAAACTTCTTAGAGGAAATAAATGAGTATTTGACTATGCAACGGTTTGTTCGTTTGTTACACAACCTTTTTAAAGTTCTGAGTACAAGATGATAAAAAAACTGCTATGGGAAAATCACAGAAACTTGTAAGAAAAGCAGTTGATATTTGATAAAGTTACTAGTTTATAGACGTGATAATATTAAATACATTTTTTCTTTCGATACTTAACTACAAAAAGCTGCAACAATGCTCATTGAACAAACCAAAAACATTAGGCCCAATGAGCATTATAACGGATAATAAAAAAATAAATAAAATTATTATTCTCACTATAAGCAAATGGATTTAAATCATTAAATACCGTTTAATTTAAAGCAGTAGATGTTAGCAGGGCGACGCCCCTCTCGTAGAAGCTGTGCGGATCTTGCCCTGGGGCAATATTCAGGTCCACAGTGTACAACAGCTCTGTCCTGGTTGAATTTAAGTAAACTGCCAAAGACAATTTGCTTCCGGACGTTTTATCTTCCGTTGATCTCGACCAGCGCAGCAACGTGATCGGCAATTCGGACATTATGCTCGAAGTAAGCAAGAGCTGGTTGTTCTTGCATTGGGCCCCTTGCAGTTTCAAGCCTGCAAAATCGCCTATTGCTTACCTAGCCCTAGTTTCCGAATAGAGAACTTACCAATTATAGCGAAGCAGTCTTGGGGAATAGCAGATGTATCATGGGAATCGGTAATTGTTACATCTAAGCACAATTCCTCCAGCGACCAGCTGTTAGCTTGAGCCACACATTGTCTGGTGGCGGTAATCCAGGCCTCAGGGTTTAATAAGCCTCCTAACCACACCGGGAAGCTCTGTGTTCGAGAAAAATACAATTTTGTTATCACACTTCTTTCGCTGATTCATTTGTAGGAAGCAAATGAAGCCAATTTCTTAGATAAGTTGGTACATTACCTGCAATTCCTGGGCCCCTGAGGTGGAAACCACTTTCGATATCTGCTGCAGCTGCTTAATTCGCTGACTAAAGTCCGTAATCCATTGAATCACTGTGCATCCTTTCGGAACCGTGTATCTATGCCAATTGGCTGGAATAATTCCCCTCACTAGCTCTCCAAGCATGGTTCGATGATAATTCGTCTGCTTCTTCTCGCCCTACGGAAATAATCGCCACATGAACAACTTTTCTTTATTGATTCCAATCACCAACAAAAATTTACCTGGCAGATCAGAAGCACGTCATTCAGATCGTGAATCACGTCAAGCAGAAGCTTCGAAGCGGAGTTGACTTCGCGCTCGAAATACCGATAAAGGGGATCTTTGATGTTCTCCACCGTTCTTCGAAGAGTCTGCAGCGATTTAGGCAACAATTGCAACCAGGTTAAGGCAGAATTGTGTAGGGTTTTCATCCAAGAGGGTCTACCGTCGATCTGGGCGCTCGGATCGCTAGGAGATGCCTCGTCCAACTAAAATCAAGTGTTCACTAAATATGAAAATCGAATTCCCACACTCTAATTACCTTGTACGCGAGCTCATCATCATCCTCCAATTGCTGCATTTTCAGCAGCTTGCTGATCAAGTCAGTGCCTCTGGTGGTAAGTAGAACCTTTTCGGCATTGTTTGGAAGTCCTAACCAAGCTGGAGTCTGCCTATCAGCCAGACTTTCAATCCATTTCAAAAAGTGGTCCCTACAAAAAAAAACAAACCATTGCAAACGAGCCCTGGTTTACTGTACTTTAGCACAACGAAGAATTCACCTTCTAGTTCCATCGGGCATGGTAATGTGCCTATTCCCGTTAGGGCCATTATCGATATTGGCCACCAATGCGAAATCCCCCTCGAAGCTCTTGCTGGTGAACAGCTTGTTGAGGAAAGACTGCAGCAATCTCTGATCGAAAGCGTTGTCGATTTTACCACCGTAAATCGACTGCGATAACAGCGTGACTAAGGCGTCCCAAGGAACCTTTTCAGGTGGCAGATTTGTTCTACCCTGTAACAGGTAATAATAAGCGAGTCAAGCAAACAGGACGGAGTTGAAATCGAAATCACCAACCATAGCAGTGGCATCGATCCATGTGTCCAAAGTATCGCAAGCCACTCGCAAGTCAGACTCGCTGAATTCGTAATATTTGGCCCATCCTAAGGGGCAGTACCGTAATCTTTCTTGCACGATGGCATGGAACCAAGCAAGTAGGAAGTAGAGTCGGGCTCTTTCGTTGGGAGCTCTCATCATTCGGCTGGCCGGTACCTGGTTAATTCGAGTTTTTAGCAGGGTTTCACAGTAAATCAGGAAAAATAACCAAAAAAACTCAACTTACAGTACTGAAAGTCCTGAGGAGATTGGCCCTAATGCCTGGCGGAGGCTCGAACACAACGATTCTTCCGGCCCTCAGCAAGTTAACGGGAAGTTTCGGATTGATCTCCATAGTGAGGAAAAGCCTGAAGCTGGCATGTGGCTGCAGGGAATGCAGCTTCTTCTCCAGCTGAACCAGCCATTGAGGAGCGAGGTGGACATTCTTTAACATCACCCATCTGCAATTGATCAAATACTGTTAGAAACGGACTTCTTTAACTAAACGACCTGCCACCTACCTTCCCGATTTGCAAGCCACGTTAATAGCGCGATGTGCCTGATTAAAGCCTTCGGCCGATCCAATTGCAATACTGGAAATCTGCTTGTTCAGCTCAGTAGCCAAATCATCCACTCGTCCGGATGCGTCGAATCCAGGCACGGAACACAACAGACCTGGCACGTTGGCTAAAATTGCACAAAAGTGTTATTAATATGGATTTCCTTCGCCAGCCAAACAAACCTTTGATTTCCTTTTCCACAATTGCGCCCAGGTCGATTTCCTTTTCTGCAGCCGCCATAAACTCCGGCCCCATAACGGCCGAGACGAACAACGCAGCAGCTGCAATAATTCGGTCGGGTCTAAAGGCCTGGATCACCAAAAGCTGGTACATGGCAGTGCCGATGGGGCTGAGCTGCTTCTCCTCGATCCAAAGACGCGGAACAGCCTGTTCGGGCGCGCTTTGCTGCAGCCAGGCACTGAATTCGGGCATTTCCTTGATTTTCTCCGGTAATTTTTTAAAGGCTGGCAACCTACAAACATATTAAATCAATATTTTTCAATTTCTCAAGTAGCAATGAATAAATTCGGAGAATACTTGTGCTATTTCTCTATATTGATACGAATGTGCCAACGGCTGAAATAAACGTTGCTTCAGAAATAATGATTTGTCTGTCTTTTATTTATATTGCTAAAGTTAGCAATTAATTTTGCAGTAGATAAGAATTTTGTAATAGAGTAACTAAAGGACTATTAAATAAAAGACAAAAGTTTATGATTTCCTAAAAAACGTAAAAATTATGTTTTTAAATATGTCACCTTTAAAATTGTTCTACAGACAACTTTTTTAGAGATTATTGTTTTCGAAGTTGTAGAAGAACGTTCTGGGCGATGAGACTAAAAATTCGATAGTTCAAAATTAAGGACCACTCGAATGCACACTACAGATATTAGATACATCAGAGCTTCATTTTTCTAATGTAAAGGTTGTAAAACTTACCTTCGCGATAGTCTGGTCAAAGCCTCCTGTTGTTCAGTGTTAAGTCCATCCACACTAGGACTGGTAGAGGAGCTTAACAGGCCCTCTTTGGCGCGCAGGAAGAAGCTGAACTCCTGGTCGTAGTTGAGTTCGTTAGGAAGCCCCTTTAGGCAAATCCTGCATAGAAGGATGGCGAAAGTCATCCGGTCGTTGTGCAGCATGCCCCTGGCAATCCTCTCATAGACCACTTGGAACAGATCGGTGGTGATTATGTTGAGCCTGTGCTGGTAGTCGGTGACTCCATCCAGTTTGGGATTGATTAGCAACACGCTGTTAAACATATCCAGGAAGAACTGCAAAGAGTACTGGTAGAGGAAGTGGACTTGGTTGAGACTGTCCATTGTGAAGTAGGTGTTGCTGCAGGCTTGCGAAAGCGGCAGGTATTGCTGGGAAACTGTCTCGATTTCCGATATCACCTTGTCGGTTTCTTCGACCTTTTGCCCGATCTCAGCGGCCTCCTTTTTCAAAGTTTCCAGAGTAGTAATGACGCTGTCGTCGTCCAGGATTTTTCCTTTGGCGTCGTTGAGGGCCTGCAGCAAAGACTTCTCAAGCTGTCTCAATCTCAAGTGGAATTCGCCTTGCAGTTTCAACAAGTCCGACCGTTTGGCGTCGATGTCCGGACGCTCCGCCTTCAGTACCTGGTTCAAGCACTGGCTCTGCAACGAACTTCTAGTGACTGTGAAGTTCACAAATGTGACTCTAGAGCAAATATCGGGCGGGAATTCCACTGTAGGATCGCGAGTGGAGAGGAAAATTATAAACGATGGCGACAAATCGATGTCCTGGTCGCCTAGAGTGATCAAAACACGGCCGCCCGTTCTGCGAAGCTCCCTGTTCAGCACCGGGTTTAGGATGGCATCATAGTTTTCAACGTCCTGCACCAATAGGGGGTTGCCAAACCGAAGGGCCGATTCCAGGTTTTTCCGGAACGAGTCATCCAGGAAACTGGTTTTGGTTATTTTCTTGTCCTTGTACTCATTGAGGATGAACTCAGTGGCCTGTCCCGAAGGATCGATTATAAGCGGGTATCTGTTGAAGCGTTTCAGCATAATGGCGTTTTCGGTGCACAAATCGTCCGAAGGCAACGCGTTTGCCTGCCAACGCAGCCGCTCATCCGGATTGGAAAGATACTCAGTCCTGGCAATATCAGCCCTGTACTGGATGGCTGCCTGGGTTAAATGCTGGCACCAAGTGGTAAACAGATTCTGTCGATAATGTTGATCAAAATACCCGCCATATGCGATGAAGGCAGCCGAGAGCAAAACATCCCCAACAATGGTAGACATTTGCGCCCTAAACGTCTCACTGGTTGCTTCCCAGCGCTCTCGTTCAATCACCAGCGATTTTAGCAGCGCTATTGACCGGTCCACCTTGGCCTGAACGTTCTCTAAATCAGTCTTAATGGCCTGCGCTTGAGCGATGAGCTGCGCGTATTCCTCCTTGTAGGACGCAATGCTCTGCTCCAATTGGCTTATCAAGTTCTTCACTTCTTCGCCACGCTTCTTATTGGTTTCCGCCTGCGTTTCCAGAGAGCTGAGCTCCTGTCGCAAAGGCTCCACTTTCTTCAACATATCGGCGTACTGGATCTGAGCCATGGCCCATTTCACCAGCGGCCCGCAAGCGTTACTCGCATGGTTCACTTTTTCGAAATTGTAATCCGGATTGCTCAGATATTTTGCCTTCATTTTGTCGCGCACATCGTCGCTGGAGAGAAAAATGTCAATTTTGTTAATTTGTTATAAAATACCACTAACAGTTTGGTTTGTAGCTAAAAGTTTCCTCAATCACTTAACAATTACAATAATGACTTTAATCTAAGTAAGTAGATATTTCGATATTTGCTATGCTCATGACGGGTTTCGAGCCTATTACTTCTCATCAGCTGGCATTAGCCTGATTATGCGCGCATCATCGAAGTGGTTAATTCGTATTAGTCCTCAGATTTGACCAATTCTACTGTTTCACAAATTTACGCGGAAGAGACAGCAGATAAAAATAAACCGTCTTTTCTAACTCATAGTCACTGAAAACAGTGACTATAAGGAAGGTGTGGTAAAAACGCTTTGGAATAAATGATGCAACAAAATATTACTCCCAGTTTAACATTCTGTTTGACCGATTTAAACCCGCACAGTTTAAACCAGATAAAGACGCTCGAAATGCAAAAGGACGAAAACTACAACATATATAATGTCTAGGTAGATATTTTTGGTAGAGTATACTTTCACATTTTTCTGTAAATATTTCTGCAAAAGTACCTTCGACCAAATTGATTTTACGCTCAAAAAAATACGCTCCCGTCAATTTCTGCAACAATATTTACACAACAAATATCCACCTCTCGTGATTGAAAATAACTCTCCCGAAACCCGTGATGCCAGTTTCGTCTACGAAAACGCAAACTTTTAGCTACTGAACGTGTATAAGTATTCAACACACAATTTTAGTTTAAAAGAACTAAATAGCTCCGAGCAGAGACAAACCTTACAAAAACAACCAGCGTTTACTGGCGCAATGCACGTTATCCCGCATTGACCTACAGCAATCGAATGATTTGTCTATGCTTCATTCAGCTGCCACTGGCTAAATCAGTTCAACGAAACCAAGAAGCAACTAAACTCTATGTACAACATGCACCTACCTGATGTCTTCAGTGTTGAAATTGTTGACCACTGTGTTGATGAAATTATCGCGCATTATCACCGCCCGGATAGACTTCCAGTCGCTGGCGTTTTCCCCGAGCAAAAGACAAATTGACTCGAGCGCCAATTTCACAATAGCCGGAGGGTTTGCCATCGAACGGATCTCGACCAGTTGCTGCTTTTTGATCGACTTTACAGCTAAACGGGGCGAAAAACAAATAAAATAAGCGAACTGATAGCAGGCAGAAAGTGCAATTATCTAAGCAAATGACTAAATGAAACTAGATTCTCAGTTGTTCCAATTCTCCCTCCTCGATCGCTCCAGTGGAAATCTAAAGATCAGCTAAAACAATCATGCATGAAATTGTACAGCCATTAATAGAACAGAACATCGATATAATGCAGGAAGGGCAGCTTATAAGGCAAGGGCCTTACGTTAAGTTGACGCCGCTGAAATTAACGATGGTGGTGATGAAGTTCTCGCGCATTATAACTGAACGAATGGATCGCCATTCGCTGGCATTTTCATGCAGTAAAAGGCAAACAGACTCTAATGCCATCTTTACAGTGGCTGGTGGGTTTGCCATGGACCTAACCTCGACGAGATGCTGTTTCTTTATAGACTTAACCGCTAAGAGAAAACTGGTTAGTAGCAAAACCCACTGAAATATTAATTTAGACAATAGCCCCCAGCTCACCAGTTTGGGCGTCTATGACTGCCGGTTCCACTTGATCCAAATCCGCCATCACTTCAGTGCGTTTCTGCTCAATATGCACGGTTTGCTCGGCCAACTGTTGCTGAATCTCCTGGCTTTGCACCTTCTTCTTTTCGGCTTCTTGCTGATCTTTCACCATCTGCTTCAGTTTGGCGTTGGCCGCCTCATTTTTCGCGTGCAGTTCTTGAGACTTGACTGCTAAACTCTTTTGCATTTCTTCCACCTACACCACCACAACCAGCGTCAGTATAGGGCAATATAAAACTGAATAAACACAGACCTGCTCAACGGTTTCCGCAATCTTATTCAAACCGACATTCAGATGCAACTGTTGCTCTTCCAAGTCGGAGCGTTTTTCGTTGTGCAATTTTACGAAATGATGAATAAAGTCTAGGTAGTGTCGTGGAGTAATGGCCATTGTCCGACCACCTGCAACAAGCAAACAATGTTCAATTAAACTGGCAATTGTTGCAAAGTGAAAGACCCTTGCCTCGCTTTGCCAGTCGCACGTTTGCTTTATGCAGAGTCTGATGAACGTAGACGCAAGCATTGATGACAGCTTCTCTATGTTGAGGAATAGCAGGAACAAACTTGCAAGCAGCTGGGAAGAAATCTGGAGATTTCCATGTCGGCCTGTCCAGCTCCAAACGGTTGGTAAATTCTTTGCCCACCTATCGCAATAATTACATTAACAAATGTTTTAATTAGTTGGCCATATACCAACTTACCTGGTATAAAGCCCCATCGGACCAATCGCCGAACCAATTGAGGACGCAACGATTGAACAGGGCGGGCGATGTAGCGGCACGATCCTTCAGCCCATCCGTTGAAGGATTCATGGTGAAAACCACGTGTAGATTGCGCATTACTTGCTGAGTAAACCATTTGTATAGCTCGTCGCTTGAATCCAACATCAACCCTACAAGGTTAAAACAACGGGGCAAATTATAACCCCACCTAGCTGGGTGCATCACCCTCAAAACTAATTACCTTCTCTTTGGGCGCCTTCTTTGCACTGTGTCATCAAAGTGGTGTATTCATCGCCTTCGAACAGTCCTGGGACTTCTCCGTTGGCCAGCAAAGTGTTCATGCGCTCCAAGAAGCTGGAATCCAACATATTCGATTCGTCCAATATAAAAGCGATTTTCTCGTCTTTGCATCCGGATCGTCTCAAAACCGAGCGCAGGTCTTCATCGAAGTCTTCGGCGGTGTATTTGTTGTGTACCTAAACACCCAGCAGTTAAAAACAAAAAGTTGGATGATCGTCAAACAAACCTTTATTTGGAAAATAGACAGTCCATTCATCCAGGCCACAAAACGCGATAAGGTGGTTTTTCCAGCACCCGAAACTCCAATGAGCAGCAAATGTCCCTGCGGCTGCCTAAAGATCCTGTCAATCCTCAGCACATGATCGAGAACTTCATCGAAGAGAACCAGAGGAACGTCTAGCTCTTCTTCGTAAAACACTCTCAGCCTGGCCTTCACATATTCCCTCAACTGCTCCCTGTCAACGGGCATGTATTCTTTCGACAGCCAGTTGCTGTACAGAATCGGTCTTTCTAGGGCTTTAGCCGAATCGGCTGAAGGGAAATGTTTTAGAGCCACCGAGTCTATGTTTTCGTTCGTCCATTGGCGTTCGGAATTCTCCACTAAACGATCTTGGAACAGTCTGAGTGCCTCATGGGCCCATAAGCGAACGATTCCTTCGACGCTCAAGGAATCCAGAGGTCTGCAAGAATTACAAATATATTAAAAAACAGCATATTTTAATGCTTCCTTTCTCCTTATTCATTACCTGATTGCTTCGCAAATTCCTCTCACCCAACGAGTCATCTCACGCGGTGAGTAGACATAATGCGGTTGCATATCTTGAGTGAATCTGTCCTGTGAGGCCAAGTAGAACTCGACCATGGCATTCGTGAGAGGTTCAGCATAACCTTTCAAGTTGGGAGTGAGGCGCAGCATCGCTCTTGTGAAAGTGCCATAGATTTGCTTTAAGGACGTCTCTCCCGGATAGTCCACGTAGATTACAGGAACGTGGCGTAAGAACCTAAACAAGAAGCATAAATATGGTTTTTTGTATGCAATAGAACATTTAGCTTATAGTGAACACTTCGGAAATTTTCCAGGATTACAACAAAAAAGATCGCGCCTGATATTTTTCAATAGACCACTCACCGATGAGAAAGGGGTTTTCTTCCAGGATCAGTAGGTGGATTACAGGCACCGACAAATTGGATACGCTCCATTGAGACCCAGGTTTGATCTGACGCCCTATAGAAGCCCTTTTGCTCGACGATTTGACGCAAGAACATGATCACTCTTTGGGTGCCGTAATTGTCCATATCGGGCAAGTTGATTTCGTCGCAGAAAAGCACGAGCCATTTTCCCAGCTACAAAGAGTTGATTAGGTTCAATTCGGCGAATCGTCGCGCTTGTGTTACCTGCACTGGAGCTAAAACAACCCCGTTAGGAGTTTTCCGGTACTCGCAGTAGTGATCAAAGGTTTTCAGCAGGAGCTCAGGAGTAGTGGCTGAAGAAAAGTTCAAACCAACCACTTCCATATCAGGCAACGCTCTTAAAGCAGAGAAGAGCGTCATGGTTTTACCGGAACCAGGCGGGCCACATAGCACTGCAAACAATCAGTATTAAACTTTTTGAATTAAAATACAAGCAAATAATTTACCCAAAGGTTTGTGCTCAGCCAACCAGGTGTATAGAAGAGACTCGTGTCTTACTGTATCTAGAGTGGGAACCACAATATCCGGCGATGCCACCTTATGGGTTTCCACTTCGATTTGAGGCACTTTATTAGACCATGGCGCCCACTCGCCTTCGATGGTCACCTCATAATCAATAATTGGCGAGTTGCTGTCTGGAGGAAGCGGTACGGTGGTAATCGATCGCACAAAATCGCCCAATTCAGAGCGAACTTTCAACTTGGCGTCGCCCGCAAAGCTCCACAGAATAGCGTAGATCAGGCATTTGGGTATGTAGCGCTCCAATGTCTCGTAGGCTAGCGGAAAATCGTTGTGGGAATGGTTGTAAGCCAGGACATTTCTGGAAGAATCCCTTGTTTAAATTTCCCCATTATATTAGCTACGGACAGTCCTTACCTGACGCTCTGGTTGAGCATGGAGGAAAGCGAACTGAGCGCCCGCAGCCTTGTAAAGTCCATTATATGCTCCTGCTCCATGGCGTGTTCCAAGCATCGAATTACCAGCCCGTCCGGCTGTAAGAAAGGCTGCAAAAGATTGGCCACGTCCTGTTGCACCTGCAGTGTTGGCGATACCGAGTCTTCCTTGTTTTCAATTTTCTTTCCAAAGCTGTCGTCTTCAACTGGGAAATAAACCAGATTTATTTTAGTAACGGTTATTAAGTTCTAAACATAGTTATTAAGTGAGTGGTCGGTTGTATATACAAAATGATTGCAGAAGAGAACTGGGAGAAAATATCTTTAATTACGTCCGGATTTTAATACCTGGTTACGGAAATTAATACTGGTTTAGTGGAAGTGTTTTACAATATGAATGAATCAATGAAATTAGATCATATTTCTTGAATTTGCTGCTGGATATTATTGAAATGTTATTTTAGATTGCATCATATGGCCGCTTAGGTAAATTTCATGTTGAGAGCAGATTTATAACATTTAAAATCCATTAACTTAACAAGACACGTTTAATAGGCATATACGCAATCTCTCTCTGAAGTTGTGTAAAATATTACTTTTTTTGGCCAATTGGAAATAGTTTGGTGCAGTTTCAAACAACCAATTGCAAAGAGCAGTGAACATCTACATGCACAAAAGTACCAGATAGAATACTGATCAGTATTCGTAAGTACAATAAATTATTTTCTTCGAATGCATTTAAGTAGTTAATACGAGAGCAGGCGACGAACGTTAAGGATTAGTAACATGAATATAATAATTGCGAAAGCCTCGATCACTACCTGCCACTACTACAAATTCTTGAGGACCTGGAACAAGATTTTCAGCTTTGAGACATGGTTGGTGCATTTGAGCTACAGGCGCTACTTTTTTTATTTTAAAAAGCACTCAAGTGTAGGAATACTGCAAACATAACTTTTAACAAATCATAGTGTCGTAAATGTTTTACCATTTCGTTTAAAGTTAAATTGCTAATAAATATAACGTAAAAACGCGTATTAGAGTCGCTTTAGACATTGGCAAACAGATTCTTACTAACTACATTATTTTAGAAAATAATCGTAAAAAGCTGCATCATGTCGACGTTCAAATACACGTTAAAACTGTATAAAATAAAATCTTAAGTTGTGACAACATTATTCCAAAACAGCTCAACTCAAATGAACACCGTTCTTACCTTCTTCTAGCGGAATATGTTTAAGTCGTAGCATGTAGTTTTCGAAGATCATTTCCGTGGAAAGGACATCTTCAGAGAACCAAACCATTCCACAACGAGAAACAGTTGCCAAAGTTGCATATTTCAGGTCTTGCACCTTGAATTGCACAATTCTAGCTACTGACATGGAATTATTTTGGCTAAACCTACTTCGAACATAACGCGGACATTCGGTGGCAAACTCAGACGTTCTCCATTGGGCAAAGTCAGCAGCTTATTGTCATCAAGAACTGAATTCAAATTCTCCACCCATTCAGGATCCACGTCCCCATCGAAGATAATCCATTGGCGCTTGTTAATTTCGCCTCTTACATTGTCGATGATTTTCCTGGACATTTTCCAAATTAGAACCGTTCGAACAATTACGCAAAGTTTGGCGAAACTTGCCTTAGAATGTGAGTAAAGAGACCGTCAGTCCACTCTCGAGTATTGGGGTCCAGTACACCATACAAAGCCTCCTTGCTGATGGCTTTAGGATCGATTACATGCGCCACTCCTTCAACTCCTTCGAAACGCTCCAAGGCTTTGAGCAGCACTCTCCAGGCTGTACTTTTACCCGATCCGCTTGGACCCACCATCATAAGCCCGTGGTTTAGGTTGGATATTTGATACAGTTGGAGTACCTAAGTGAGAATTTGTTTGTGAATAACCAGGAATTATTTAGTAGGATTTAACACATATATGAAACAAGCGTGCATTTGTCGTCGACTATTACCTTAGCTACCCAGGAGTCCCTCTATGCAGCATGAAATCAAATGAGGTGCAGTTTTACAATATTTGTACAATGCATGAAAATGATAGTTGTTGCTAAATGTTACCTTTTCCATCCATGCAGAGCCTTGCTCGTCACCCTCGCCGCACACCAAGTACTCCTCAACGCAAACCTTTCTGATTTCATCCTTAAGGCCTGAAAACAGTTCAAAATTTCAGCTCAAACGCAAAACCAAATTTTCAACAAAAACTACCTTTCATTTCAGCCCTAGTATACAACACGTTGGGGAATACATCATTCAGCAAGCTAAATAGCAGCGGAATGTCTTCAGCCACCAGCTTTGGTACCATTGTTTCGCAGACGGATTGAATGAGAATCTCTTGTTCGGGAAGATTTTCCGCAATGCTGGCTTCATCAATATTTGTTTCTCCTAAAGAAACAGAATTAGTTTTATAACTTTTAAAAATTGAATCAATTTGGGGCTTATTAACTTACCCCTTTGCGTCATGCCCTCCTTAATTCGTTGAATCCGGTCCCTCTTTACATTACCAGCAGAAATCAGGACTGATTTGAGGGCACGAAGCCCAAAGTCATAATGCGACTGATTGGAAAGTTGCTCATCACAAAGCCTGCGAAAAAAAGTGTGGAATAGCATCTTAATAATCGGGAATAATGGCACTTACTTAAAGAACGGAACGATTTTGCAAGCCAGCTTTTCAGCCGACCTGAATCCTTGAGAGAACAGCATCACTTCGGCAATGAGCTGTCGGTCTGGAGTAGTCATGGCCAGCGATCTGAACAGTTTCTTCAAGTTGTCGGGCAAGTTTGATCTGCCCGCATATCCTGGATTCATTGTGATGAATATGGCCATATCTGGAGATACTCGCACCTGCTTGCCTACCAGTTCTACGCTGATGCCTGCAAGAGCTATGGGTAACTACTGAAATTTTTGAAAGTGAGTATCTTACTGCCAGTTTGCTGTCCGGACTGTTCGCTGCTTTCCTTCTGGCTCTTTAGTGCTTCTTGGATCGTTTGGATTTGCTGCGATACAGCCGACAACATTCTCTCTTCTAGTCGATTGAACTCGTCGAAACAGCCCCAGGCGCCCACTTGGCATAAACCGACAAAAATTCGTCCCATTGCCTGGAAATCGAAGGTTTCATCGCAATTGAACACCAACACAAAACGCCCTAGTTGGTTGCCCAGCGCCTTTACTGATTCGGTTTTTCCAGTACCGGCGGGACCTAAATTGGTAATACAAATAATTTAAAGAATAAATACTGCTGCAACTACTGGAAACTTACCGAAAGGAGAACCTCCCAATCTAGCTTCCAAGGCTTGAGTCATAGTCAAGTAGCATCTATCAGTTAAAGGTGTCTGCACCAATCTATCTTGTACTCCCAAATATTCAAAACCGTAGTAAAACACTGCGTTTGCCATGTGAATAGTTAGCTGCTTTAGAACTTCAGTTTGGCGTGGATCAAAGTAGAATCTGGAAATTTACTACTCACTGCCAAATACTCTAAAACCGGGTTTAAATGTCCGTACCGCATTTGGCAAAGCCACTCGAAGGTTTTGTTGCTGCACACGCCGCTCGAGACCAATTTTCTAGTCACTGTTCTCTTATGAACAAACTCATTGATGAGATGTTCCAACTTCTTCCTTCTCAACTGAGGCTGCTCTTGAAGAACGGAATCCGCCAAAACATTTAACGTGCTTTCCACTTGCTGAAGCACCTTTTCCAGAGGGCCTTTCTGTGGTTCTCCATTTAACTAAAAAATGTTTAAAAAATGTTTCTAGGATTGTTAGCGGAGAGTAAAATAAATCGCCATGAAAAATTACTGACCTTTGTTAAAGCAGCCTCGACATCCTCACTCCAGAATATCTGTGCAGCCAAAACGACAATTTGAGCTTGATACTTGTCGCACCACTCCATGAAGAGTTTCGGATCAATTCCATCCTTAAACTGCTTGATATCCTGCACGGCTTGTGCAAGGCTTGAGGCCAAAGTAACGCGCATTTCTTTCTCCACCAGAGAAAGCCATTCGTTGATTTTCGGATACTCGACTGTTGACACTGGGGTTCTGAACATCACCTAAAGAAGCATAGAACATTGAATTATGTACATTCAAAAAATAGAAGAAGTCACTAGTACCTCTTCACCTTCGCGAGAGGCAATGCCAGTAATAATGGTGTTATCCTCGTTCAAAATAATCGATGCCACACCAGCAAACATTTTCTTAAAGTGTTTCTGAAGCCGAGCGATGTTTTTGCTATTTCCGATAATTTCCAGCAGATCTTCATCACCGACAAAGTAAAACCGCGGGAACGATGTTCGTTCTCTTTCCAGGTATTCTCCCAAAGCTTTCTGAATTTTACCTATAAACCAAACAGTATTGTAGAAAGTGCGATGCTATAAAAGCAGGCATTTTACCCAGAAGATCGGCAAGTCGCTCCAAAGCTCGTTGAACACCGGGGATGTTAAGCACATCCATCACCATAGGCGACTTGCTCACTTTCTTCATTAGGCCTAAGAACTCGGAACTGATGCTATGAAAGCGAGAAGTCTCGACTGGGAGCAGGGTTTTGATGTCGGCGCTTCCCGAAAATATGCCTGAAAATATCAAACGGTATTTAATGTTTTAATAATGCATTACTCACTTACCTTCCAAGTAAACCCATCGGCGTTGCACATCAATCCACACATCGAACAGGGCATTAATTCGGTTCAGTTTCTCCTCCCACGTCAGGGCTTCCTCCTCGAACACTTTGTAGTACGGCGAGAGCTTCATGGCAGCAACTGAGTTGATGTGCTCTTTCACCTGGACATTATACTTGTTAAAACCCCAAGCGGTTCAAATCGCAGCTATGCTCACCTTATTGAAAAGATCATCCCATCCTCTGATCAACCTGCATTTGTTCTGGTAGTTGATCAGATCCAATTCGTAGGTCTGCCAAGATTCGCGCACTTGCTTCAAGAACTCCTCCAACGCCATTTCTCCTTGAGCCACCAGTATCACATCTTTGACAATCGATTCGTTTTTCTGCAAGTTCACATCCCACACCTGGCCTAAGGTGAGGTCGCTTAAAACCCAATTTACTCTCAATTGTTTCATCAACTGCTTCCAGTGCCGTTCCTTGAGGGCATCAGACTTTAATTCCACAATCAACATATTCACTTTGGTGTAGTTCTGTAGCATTCGTTTCACGTATTCATAGGAAGCATATTGGCGCAGCCTCGCAGGCAGTTCTTTTAATTGAGTCAACATTGTGTCGAGTTGTTGACGTAGTTTTCTTGGCTGTACTGATAACCTGTAGACAAGAAGTAAGTATAAAAATGGAGGTTTTATTCATAATATGCATATTTTTACATAGAAGAATAGATAAATAAATGGGAAAAACATACCAAGGTTTCTCTTTTGTTTCGTCGATTTGCTGCCAGATTTTCGACAGCTCAGACCAAACGCCTCTTAAATCTTGCAATTCTTCGAACACTACCTGCATTCGGTCTTCGCTGGTGCTGGCTCCGCCCGGTTCTTGAAGCTCTAGCGCTTCTTTGGCTTTAGCGACGTTATCGCGCTCCTCCTTTAGTCGCGCATATTTGCTTTCAAACAACTGGAGTTGAGAGAGAGCTTCATCAGGCCTGGAACGAGCAATTGTACAATTTCAGTTTTATTTGCGGTCTAATATTGTTAATTAGTTTGTTAATGTTACCTTAAATGCCCTTCAACGGGTTTGCTCTTCTCCCAATCGCCGAGAAAATCGTGCGTTCTACTCTCCACTGCTTTGTCTTCGGACACGATTTTCTGTTGCAGGCTGGACACTTGGGTCTGTATCGAACAATCCTTGCGCTTGATGATTTCGCTAAAGGCGCCCCATTCGCCTTCGACGTTTTCCACATGAAGCCAGTTTGTGGGGAATTGGAAACGTTGTCGTTCCAGGATTCGTTGACCTTCCCTGTATACTTCAACCTAATAAAACCCTCAATTAAAATAATGTAGTTTTTGTAGACGATAAAACTAAACTGAATGAAACTAAAACTAAAATGGCAGAGATTAATTGCTTGCTTAAAGTGCTTCTTCACCTGCTTTTCCCACTGTTTCATACTCCTTTTCAGATTTTGTACGTAAGTGATGAAAGTCACCGCATCCGAAGTGCTGGCCGCTTCAATACTCTGCAACTCCAGATCGGATCTGGACTTGGATACGTTGGTATGAAAGGAGGCCATTTCGTTGCTCAACAACGAGCCGAATTTGCTTAAAGTGTCCTTGTGCCATGAGTCGTACTTGAGGGACACTTTGCTCTGCACTTTCGCGAAATCGATCACGATCGGCCCGAACTCACGACGGGTGTCCGAAGTGTCGAACGTAGACCTAGTTGTTCTGAAAAACCCAAATAGAATTATTTAAGCAATCTAATCTAGCCAGGCGGTAATTACTTGATGTCGTTGAGACAGCGCATCCATTTGCCGATGTCTTCGCCCAGCTGGCCGTAGAGCGTGTCGGCTTGCAGGTCCCACAAGGATTGGTAAGTCAGCCATTGGTTCACGTATTTTTGTACCTGAAATGTTCAGCTCTATAGGGGAGGAAGCAGTTTAATTGCACCATTGCATACCTCCTTGACTTTACTGGCAATGGCGTTATAAGCATTGTTCATCGGTTCCGCGCCAGCAGGAAGTTTAGTTAAAATGCTCCTGAAAGTCTCGGTAACCGGCTTGTCGACTCCTACTTGATACCTGTAAAAGGCGTATTTTAGTTAAATTTAATTTAGAACTTAAGCGGAATTCTTACCGGCTACTCTGCAGCCTTAACTGAGAAGTGACGATGGCTTCCCATGCGAACAGTTGCTGCATAATTTGGAATCTTGCTTCTTCGATGCTCGGGTATAAATACATCGTTTGATTAGTGATCCTCACCTATGCACAAAACAATATAGAAGAAAAACGACTATTGCAGAGGCAAATTACCTCATGAACCATTGTTTGGATTTGCGGATCGCCTCCAGGCTTATGGGTAGGCTGGGTCGGAGCATCCGTATCCATGCTATGATCAATATCCTTCTTCGTGCCAGCTAAAGCATCGGTCCAGGCTTGAACGCCTGCTTGTAAACGACGAGCTAAATTTTTCTCGACCTGCAGCAACACATAGCAGTTAGATCAGTGTTAATCGACTTTAAATCACGTACCTCTTCTCCCAATCTGTTCACCCAAATATGGAAGTTTGAGTACTGTTTCAAGGATAAGTCGTCCACTGCATGTTGAACCTTGGCCAAAATTTCCGCAAACGTATTGGCCGAATAAGGACAGGTTTCCAACGATCGCACGTCCACCTCGAGTTGCTCACCAACCAGAACCAACTCTTCAACTTTCTCTTGGAAAGCCACAATTGTCTCGGAGAACTTCTGAACGTACGGGTCTAGCTTGTAACTTTCCCACACAAGCGACGCTCCTTCCTCAATCAAGCTTTGCACTTCTTTCCGCATGCCAGCCACCAGTGGAATTATGCTTGCTTTATCTTCAATCTATGAAGCATAATGTCAATAGAAAAGAACTAATTTAGGCCGCACATGCACTATTTTACATAGAGTACATAAGACGGAATTTGGGGCTGATGGGCAGTTTTCACAGGCAAGCCTATACAATGCAAAGAGTTACTAATGCTCGATTTTCCCGTTTCGCAGGTTAGCTCTACTGTTTAAAAAAAGTATCAACAAACCAATGAATGAATTAGTATAGTGTGTGTTTTTCGAACACCCCCATTAGTTGATATAAACGCGGAATGCTGTTTAGCTTTAGGGCACATCAATTAATGAAATCAACGAACAAGCTAACAGTCATGCACAGGCTATGTAATCATGCCCCATTTTGATAGCTATAATCGAATCTACCTTCGCCCCACCATGTTGGTTGATCCTGTGGTTAAGCTAATCAAGAACACACCTATTTAAATCGAAATCAAGGCTCTATATCAACTAAGTCACATCCTGCTTTTAAAATCTACCCAGTAAAAGAATAGGCGCATATCAAAGCGTACCTTTTCCAGAGTCATCTCGTATGTTCTGACGCTCTCGATCAACGAAATGGCAAATGGGTACAGTTGGTTGGCTTGATGGGCCTTATTCACGATCGCCAACGGTATGCGGAATCCCAGACTCTTCAGGTTGCGCACTTCTTTGGCAAGAGTGATGATTTCAGGCAGGAAATTTACTCTGAGCTTGTAGATGTTTCCGCGCCCATTTTTCGCTCGAATTGCGTCAATCATAAAAATCCTGCCAGACACCCCCAGATTTCGCTGCTGCACGTTGCGGGCCCATTCCTCAAAGATCTCCTGAGTGTTGAGCTTCAAACGGAAACTATCACCGTCCGCTTTCAGTTTTTGACCTTCGATGTGGTTTTCCCAACCTTTACCTGAGAAACCAAACAAAAAATGCTTAAGAACAAATAAAGCAGGAAACCTATCCGTATTTTTTAGTTTTGCGGTGTTTAAATAATCATTGTAAAGCTCTTATTTGCTGCAGAATCTTGTAAAACAATAGACAAATTTTTACCTAATACATCTTCCACTCGTTTAAGATACGTTGTAAGTTGATGATTGATTTGTTTGGCCCAAATAATGGAACCAGCAACTGGGGGCAAGTCGCGGCCTTTACTTATCGCCGCACTGTTACTCTGTGGATACTGGACCTGAGAAGAGATGGCATTAACAAAAAAACTTCGCACATTAACACAAAAACGCACCTTAAACTTCTCATGTAGAGCCTCGATGTCGTCTTTGACGCGTTGGATTAAATGTGTTTGGTATTCCCTGATGGCGCCTCTGATGTGCGGGCGCACAAACAGAGCATTGAATCTGGAGAAGATCCTGAACATTTCGTTCGCGTTCTTTGCGGTGCCGAGCTGGTCGCGAAGATGAGCAGTGATGCGAGTTTCCACGCGATCAATTCGCTCTTCATAGCGTTGCACTGCTGCGTCCCAAGCGTCTTGGCCCTCTTTGGATATGTCCAAGCATTCTACTTCCTTGACGTTCTCATAGGCCATATTCACCTCCTTAACAGCGATTTGAAATAAACAAAGCTTTTAATGGGCACACGATTCAGTTACCTCGATGGCATTCACATCAGCGGCATCCAGCGAAAACGTTGGCTTCACTTGTTCCAGGTCTTCTCCTTCATTCGCCGCCGCAGCTTCCCGAATGGATGGCCTCAAAACGCGGATTATGACATTCCGAAGTTGGTCGTGCTGGTGTCGGAATTTGCACATTTGATCCATGCGGCTCTGCAGCTTCTTGTGCTGCGCTGATATGCGCCACACCATTTTCATGTGCTCATCGCGCTTTTTCTTAATTATATCCCTATTTAAAAAATCATCAGTTGTTGAAATAATACAAAAAACTACTTGAACAACTCGCCTTAGTAAAGCTTGCAACTTCTCGTACTCGTCCTCCCAAATGGAAAACACCTCAAAACACTGAGTCATGACTTTCTCAAAGTCCTCAAACGAAATATGCATCAATCTTCGGGTGCCGAGCACTTTGAGTAGCTGCGCCCCCAGATCTCTAGAAATTGCCTCGACAAGTCGCAGAGATCGCTGAATCGGATATTTAGTCGATCGCACTTTGCGCAAATGGGAGAAAATCTGTTGAACAGCCGCCCTGATCCGTTCCAGCTCAGTAGCGGAGAGCAAATCGTTGATTGGAAAGTCCTTCATCAGAGGATTGTAATCGTTCACAGTGGCGATGGCTTGTTTTAGGCCGGTATCTGTGTCGAACGAGACTGTAGCATGGAAACGCTGCAAAAGAAAGGAACTATTAAATCAGCAGCCCAAACAAGCAACGGGATAGTTTTACCTTGCCATGCTTGAGAATGTCCAGAGTTAGGATGACTTCCAGGCTTTCACGCTTTTCCTGGATGCGATGCAAGGCTCTTTCAAGATTGAGCCAAAAGCTGATTTCTTGCAGCGCTGTTCCGGATGAAGGATCCCTGTCCAACTTGGTTACCTATTTTATGCCAGAAAATTATGTAACTAATTAGTTTAGAAGGTGTTTTTTGGAACGTTAACAGTACAACTAGAATGGTAATTTTGTAGAAAATATTCCGAGATTTTGAAAAATGGCAGTTATATTGGGGTTTGGAATGTTATGGTCTTTTCCAACCTCTTACAATTCTTTCGGCTCAAATAAGTTCTCAGACAAGATACCTTTTGAATCTCTTTAATCCATCTATTAACTCCATGCTGCAGCTGGTTTAAAAAGTTGGAATCGTCCACTTTGTTACTAAAATCCGACACTTTCGGTTTTCTGCCCTCATCGGCGCACTGCTTAATAAGGGAGGCCACATAGGGGTGAATTTGAAGGGTGATTTCAGGTATGTCGATGTTTTGTTGTAGATGCAACAGACCCATTTCCAATTCGGCAATGGTTTTCTCCACTGAGGGAGCCATTTTATCACCATCCCTAACAAAAATAAATTGATAAACATGTTTGATTCAATGAAAAACGCTATCGAAGTTTTCGTACTGAATCGTTTCTTTGTAAGTTAGCGTTCTGAAGTGTTTTGTCCTTTGGATTACTTTCTTTCTAACGTTTTGTGCGTCTAGTAAATCTTAGTTGTTGATGTTAGTCTCGGATTTTATATTAATCGTTATCATTTGCAATGGTATTTTATTTTATTTTATTGACGAGACTTAAAATTATCTTTAACGGAATAATAAGTATTTAAATGGTCAAGCTCTTTACCTACTGATTTTAATAGATGTTTGCAAATAATTAAACGCACCTGTCAGCTCTCCCAGACTCCTTTACGTATGACTTAAAAAATGGTGCCATGGTTTTGCTGATGTAATCATGCAGGATCTCGTAGGGGGATCCCTCGCTGAAATTCAGCATTCTGACCTAAGAAAAATTGGAAACAATTCACGATTAATAAATACTAAATTTTCTGGCTGCAAGATAACATAAATAACTACTTAAGAGATTTACCTGGGCACGAATGCTCTTATCAGCTTCAATAACTGGGTTTCGTTTGATGCAAACCAAGCTGGACATTTTCGAGTTCGAATAATGCACTTCATTGCTCACATAGTAAGCCACTGGCTCTTTTTCTTCTTCACCTTCCGGTGGTTGATCGTTGTCATCATCTGTAATGAATAGTACAGGTTCAGCAAAAGCAGGCAACAAATGAGGCAGATTGTAGCCCTTATAAAGAGACACGCCCCCGATACCCGAGTCAACGAAGCAAAACTCTGGTTTTTTTACCTTTAGATGAATTCCTCTGAATGTACAGCGTTGTAACTTGAGGATCACTGATGAACTTTCTGATACACTCCTGGTTGACTTTATCGTCGAGAGCTGCGACCAGATTTTTGGGTTCGGCTTGGGAGTCATCCTCTGGCAGCAACACGGTGGCTGCTTTGAGGATGTAGTTAGTGAAGGCTGTGAAGTCCACCAGGGCCACATTCTGGGGCTCCGGTGTGTTCTCACTCCCTTCCAAGGAGTCCCCCATGGCTGAAACCTCTAGTTTTTTCTCAACGTTTAGCTGATCGCATATAACGGTAAATAATGATTGAATCGACTGGAATAATTCACAAGTTCACTGCGCAGACTGTTTTTTTTTTGCGAAATTGAATTGTTTCTTTTTAGTAAAATCTATAAGTGTCTGAGTCAGCCGTTCTTGACAGACATTGACATTCATGTGAAGAGGCTCCATTCACCTGCTCCCAGAGTCTACTGTGGTTGCCTCTTTTTTTATCATTCCCTACTAACACAGGAAAGGTGATGAACATGCGACTGCCTTGAATTCACTGCACTTGTTTTGTTTTCAAAAGGAAAACCGTTACAATACAAAGATGTTTAAGATAGGTTTTTGGTTGTTTTCAGCTGTTTTTAACCAAAAAATCCTCAATTAAATTATATTATTGGTTTAAGGACCTTGAGCATATAATTTTGCACATTGATATACGGACGAAAAGTTGGTTTATCTGAAGATCACATGTTGATTGACCATGGGGACCTGGAAAAAGGCTGAAAATGAAAAGGGATTTATTTACTACATAAGGTGAGCTGTGTAGAGCAAAGTACTTCAACTGAATGCCCGGTAAAACAAGTGTAAGAATGCAGAAGTTTAACCACGGGGGTGGAGATTCAAAGGGGCTTGTTATCAAAAGTCTTCAGGTCCACTGGGCAAGAGGAAGCACTTGGAATTGACTTCTTTAACGTGTTGCAAAGATGTAGAAACATTGAACAGAACCACGAAGTACTCGCTGGTCCTCCAAGAATGTAATACTTTTGCAGAAAACAATGTCTAGTGCTTCCTCTCACTTCTTCCTAATTTCGCTATTTAGCGTTTATATTTTCACTTCTTTCACTTTTCATTATGCTAGTAATTTGGATTATTACTTTATATTAATATTTGCTTAGTTTGTTGGTGCTAAACATACCTGCTAGTTAATCTAATCCGAAACTATATTAAGTCTTTGTAAGTATAGTTTCTGCTTTTTTAGATATCAATCCCAAGATTAATTTGGGACTTTCAAAATATATATACCTACTAACTTGGTAATAAGTTTTAGTCGTACGTAGAGCAATTAAAGGTTTTTACCAAAAAAAATTCTTGAAGTGAAACTACTTACGCGATATAAAAAGTATACTATTGTAGTTTGGTATTTTTTTACAGAATATCCCCTAAATGAGCCATAGGTATATCGTAATTATCGAGCTAGATGTGTTTTACAACTTTCGTGTTTTTGTGCCTAATTCAGAGTTGTTTAAAAATGAACGTTTAGACGAATCGCACTTACCGCACTTTTGAATCATCAATTTCTTGGAGGAAATTCCAAAACGTTCTTAAAACTCCAAATGTGCACTTCAGGGCCAAAGAAATCTGAGCCATTGCGGCGTGAGAGTAAACGTCAGAAAGTTCTTACTTTAAAAAATCGCATTTTTCCGCTAAAATCACACTACCAGGCGAAAGAATAGCACAGATCGATGATAAAAGACTTCTCCTTTGAGAAAAACAGGAATTTTCTGCCGAAATATTCAGAAATTCTGGGATTTTTTAAATTTAGAAGCTGCGATTTTCTCCCTGTCCTTCCTATCCACCATTAAACAATTGACTAATTCGACGTGATGACATGACATCGGTGTACTTTTGAAAGCTTGTAACTAGATAATTAGGACAACTTGTTCACTTACATCAAAGTAATCCTTATGTATACACAAAAACTTTACTTACAAGTCTTGGATAGGAATGAATACATAAACACTTCTTCATCACGAAAAGTACTTTGTTAGAAACACCCTGTAAAGGCCACAAAAGAATAAAATTTTATGTTCAATTGAAGTTCCTTCGCCATTATGTCAAGATACTATGGTGTCCGTGCTCATTTTATTGAAGTGCCGAATGAAAAAGCCATATTGGTTAAAATGCCTCAAACTCTATAGCATTTTTTTCCGTAAAACAGGAAAATCCCCGCTGGAACTGTTGGATTGGCAATAACCGACTATAACTTTCCCATTATGATGATTTTGGTCAGTGTGTTCAGTTGCTTTCCAGATCTCGATGAAATTTATGATTAAATGAGGAAATTAAGATCAATTTGTAGAGTGTATTTGGTAGAAACTCGCTAATAATCTGACGGGATGGTGGAAATCAGGGCTCGAAAGCGCACGTTTTTATAGGCAAGTGAAATTTATTTTGAGAATTACTCAAAGTGTCACTCGCAACGACTAACTTTTAATTGACTACCGCGCTTTGCGGCGATGAATAGAGTAAAATTTACTCTATGTTTCCTCAATGTTTAATTTTTCTGCAGGTTTGGAGTGAATTTTCACAAATACTCAAAGTGAGACTTGCAACGGCTTTTGCTACTAAATATACCCGCTGTCGTTCAATAGCTTTTTATTACAAACTAGTTGAGATTTAAGAGCACTTTTCACGGCAATCAATAATGGAGCAAGCTTCACTTTGTGTTTTATCAAAATTTGATTTTGTAACAATATTTGCACAAGTGAGATTTGCGGTGCAAGTAGCAAAATTTAACTGCCGTTTTTCTTTAATTTGTTACGCCTGAACTAGTTGAAATTGAATATTTGCGGGAATGACCACTTTTTAGTCGTTTTTGAACGGTCACGATTTAGAATTTTGATCGAAATTTTTTTAAGCCACCCCCCCTTAAGGGGGTAACAATTTATTACGCCTGAAGTAGTTGAGGCCAATAACAATATTAACGGGAATAAAATCTTACTCAAAACCTATTATACCCTATAATACACATCTGTACCTTATTATATTGAAAACAATCCCCTGAGCTGAAAAAACCCACAAGTCAATAATCGATTTTTGACCGTAAAATAGGCTCAAAACACCCCATTTCTGTACTATTTTCCTTTATTTTGCCCCTGTTGTTCAGATGAATAAATAATTTTGATTTTACTGATTTTCAAAATGTATGTATTATTGCATTAGTGACCAACAAAACCTGCAACAATGGGACCATCCGAAATTCTGCGATGTAAAACAGGCAATAGACGACTGTAACTACGTGATTTACGCAACTTACCGGCTGGCTTTGAAGTTCCGCGTTTTGCAACGCGCCTTGTACAGTAAGGGTGTGTTCAATTTGCTTAACTAGGTTTAACATGTGGGCTTTCAGCTGAAGACATTCCCTTGGCCCTTACCAGTTCCATTTTCGAGAGACACCGCTTGGCCAACAATGAAAATTCGCTCATTTTGGAGACCTGCGACTTAGAGGCGGTGTTGGCGGATATTTTCTTTGCCGCCAACAATCAAAACCACATGAACATCGATGTTGATTTTGTGGCTGAGATGGTCATCAATTTTTTATATAATGTCTTTGATAGGTTGGTGATGTGTGAAGAACCCCACTGGAATTGGACAGTGATGTTGTTTCCTTATTAGTTGCAGGGAAGGGACCATCCAGGTCATCTCAGTGAAGCTCACTTTGGGGCTTCTATGCAACAGTTCCCTGCCCGAGCTGCACAAGTATATCTTCTCTTTGTGTGCTGACCATAACAATTGCATCACCAGGGTGCGACTGCTTGGCCTGCTGCAGAAAATGCACTTGTTAATCAAGTATCTACACGAAGACCCGGTGTTTAATGTGCACTGCCTAAACGCGGCGGTAGACAAATGTTTTGTCGATGTAAGTACTAGCGTAGACCAGTCTTTATGTAGTTCTCCACACTTTATTCTCTCGTGAAATCCAGTCGCCCGGCTTGGTGGGGATTGCTGAGTGCACCTTTATGAGCTGGCTCAATTCGGACATCCCCTTTTTATCCTGGCTGCCTCTGGTTGCGAAGCTCAAGAACTCGGAAACTGGTAAGTCCTA